GGCATTTACAAGAGCTTGCTTCAGGGCCTGAAATGCGGCTTCACAAGCTGGAGACCACAGGACCTGCTTAGGTAAATTTTTCTTAGTCAGGTCAGTCAAGGGCTTGGCAACCGTACTGTAGTCGGGGACAAAGCGTCGGTAATACCCTGCCGTCCCCAGGAAGGCCAATACTTGGGTCTTGGTGATAGGTGTGGGCCTGTTAGCTACAGCTTCTACCTTGGCTGGCTGTGGTCTCTGGCTCCCACATCCTACCCTGTGACCCAAGTACTGCACTTCTGCCATGCCTAGATGGCACTTGTCTGGTTTCAAGGTCAGGCCCGCGGCCCGAATCTTGTCCAGCACCACCCCCATGTGTACTAAGTGTACTTCCCAGGACTCACTGTAGACCGCAATGTCATCCAGGTATGCACATGCAAATTCCTGGAAGCCATTGAGGAGCCTATCCACCATACGCTGGAAGGTAGCCGGAGCATTCTTCATCCCAAATGGCATGACCTTAAACTGGTACAGACCAAATGGGGTGACGAATGCCGACTTAAGGATAGCATCCTAGGCCAGGGGGATCTGCCAATAACCTTTACACAGGTCAATGGTGGTCAGATAGCGCCCCCTGGCAATGCGGTCTAATAACTCGTCTACCCGGGGCATCGGGTAGGCGTCAGTGGTGGTCCGCTTGTTGCATCGCCTGTAGTCCACACAGAACCGGGAGGTCCCATCCTTCTTAGGCACCAGGACTACAGGGGAGGCCCAAGGGCTGTCTGAGTGCTCGATGACCCCCAGCCTGGTCATCTCCTGTATCTCCTTCCGCATTCCTTCTCGGACTGCTTCAGGGATACGGTATGGGGGTTGTCGTAGGGGGTTCTGTCCGGGTGTCTCGACCTTGTGCACAGCTAGGGTGGTGTACCCGGGTTCTTGGGAGAACGTCGCCTGCTTCTCCCACAGAAGCTGTCTCGCCTGTACCTTCTCTGCGGGGTTTAACCGGTCCCCTAGCTGCACAAGACTAGTACGGTCAGTCTGGGGATCCTTCTCTAATAAATAAATTCTCGGGGTCGTCGGCAGCTGGGGCACATACTGCCGCAACATCTTCTGGTCTCTTCTGATACTCCTTCAGCATGTTCACATGAAAGGATCGCTGAATCCTTTCATCTGCACAGCTGGCTATAAGATAGGTAGTATCACATACCTGGGCTAACACTTTATACGGGCCCTGCCAAGATGCTTGCATCTTGTTCGTCTTCACAGGCTTGAGCACCAGAACCTTCTGCCCAACCTGGAAAACCCGCTGTCGGGCACCCCGATCATACCATACTCTTCTGTCTCCCCTGGGCCGCCTGGAGATTCCATCAGGGATAGTTTCTCAATCCGGTCCCGGAGTTCCAGGACATATGGTACTATGGGGGTCCCTTCTTGCTCTGTCTCCCCCTCCCAGTGCCCTCTAATGAGATCTATGGGTCAGCGGACCCTTCTCCCATAGAGTAACTCAAAGGGGGAGAACCCAGTAGATTCCTGGGGCACCTCTCTGTATGCAAATAGCAGATGAGGCAGGAATCGCTCCCAGTCTCTGCAAGTGTCAGTAAAGGTCCTCAACATCTGTTTGAGGGTCCCATTAAATCGCTCGCAGAGACCGTTAGTCTGTGGATGATAAGATGAGCTAAGCATCGGTTTAATGCCGCACACCTTCCACAGCTGCTGGGTGAGCACAGCGGTGAACTGAGTTCCCTGGTCGGAGAGGATCTCCTGAGGGAACCCAAACCCAGTGAAAATTTTAACCAGGGCATCAGCAACCGTCTCTGCCTCTATATTAGACAGCGCTACTGCCTCTGGATAACGTGTGGCATAGTCCACCATGGTGAGAATATATTTCTTACCGGATGGGCTAGCCCTGGCCAGTGAACCCACAATGTCAACGGCTATGCGGGAAAAGGGTTCTCTAATGATAGGAATCGACTGAAGCCTAGCCTTTGGGTGATCCCCCCGTTTACCTACCCGTTGACATGTGTCACACGTGCTACAATAAACCCGCACATCTCGGTTAAAATTGGGCCAGAAAAAGTTTTGTGTGATTCTATGAGCTGTGCAGCGGGAGCGTAGATGGCCCGCTAACGGCACATCATGCCCAATCCGCAGAATCTCTTGCAGGTATTTTGTAGGCACCACTAGCTGTCGATTCTGCGGAGGGGTACTCGATCTCTGGGACGGTTTCAGGATTCTGTACAGCCTATCCCCCCACCCACTCGTAACGCTGCCCATCTACCTCTTCTCCCCCAGAATCGTCCCTGGCCCTGTACTTCGCTAACGTCGGTTCTCCCTAGTCTCCTTCCCGTACATCTCTGGGGTATGCAAGCCTAAAGGGGCCTGGTCTAAGGTACAAGTCGGGGTAGAGAGTCTTACCTGGGTCTCAGCAGCAGGTGGGCCGGACTCGGTGGCACGGATCTGGGCACGAGTCATGACAGCGTCCACTTCAGCGGGACCCATGGGAGCGAAGGCTGAAACCAGGGGCGCCAAGTCATTGCCAAGAAGGACGAAACACGGCACACCCGGCTACTCGCACTGCGACCGTGTCTCCAGTATGTTGGGCCTCGGACACCAGGTGCTTCTGAAGCAATGTCATGGTTGCACCGGTATCCCGTAGACCACTGACCTCCTTCCCGTTGACCTTTACACATTGCCAGTGGTGCTGTCTGTTATCCCGGTGGGCAGCTTGAACAGGGTCTGCTTCATGCAGGATGCCCCAGCATTCCTCTTCCTCTACATAGTGAGCAGCTGGGAGAGGTGGTCGTGGATTGCCGCCAGCTGGTCTCCTCCAAGACTGGGTCTGGTTGGCGCTGTTCATCGGGCACTCCGGTCGCTTGTGCCCTGGCTGTTTGCATAAGAAGCACCTAATGGGTTGCAAATAATCCTGTGAGTTGAACCGGGGTGGCTGTTGATACTGCACAGACGGAGGGGGTGCAGACGGCCGATTCATTGGAGGCTGGTAGACGTTAGCTGTTGGTGGTGCTGCTGGCCGGTACTCCACTCTGGCTGGAGTCTTAATAGAACTGTCCAGTTTGTGGGCATCTGTAATGGACCGTTTTGCACACAAGGGGTGTGACAAAGTGCCCTTCGTCACTTGGTCCTGGAGAGGCCTACTTGCCAGCCTCCTCCCCTGTGACTATGACTCTTTCATCTATCTGGCTTTAAAACCCCTAGTCTACCTTCAGACAGACTATTTATGTGGGCTGCTTTATTTATCCTATGTTTTAGTCACCCTGTACCCATTATAGGTGCAGGGTGTGTGTAATGTAATTGTTTATAGTGTGTGTACTGTGTAATGTATTGCCTGCTCTCTTGTATTGCTGAGGTTTGCTACCAACTAGGTGGGTTTGGCTATGGAGCTGGTCTAGTGCCCTCTGTTGGTAGCAACAGCAATATGCACTACCTGAATTGCAAGACCGGTTCATTTGCATATTCGGGTAGATTTGCATATTGCTAATTCTGCAGGCAGGTGAGATATTTACTGTTAAATATTGTCTCCCCCCACCCCTTTAAAAATGTGCCATTGTGTTGTGATAAGTCACTGTGTGTTTCTTGATATGGTTTGACTGTTTGTGATTTTATTGAGGTTTCACAACAATGTTATTGTGGTGACTGTATTGGCTGGTCCCAAGGGAATAAAGGTTTTGACAGTTCTTCTTGATCCCTCTAAACGTAGCCTTGTCTTGTTATTGGAGGGAGCTGTTATAATCACACTGGGGATTGCTATGCTCTGCATGCTCCCCTGAGCTTGAGTCACTTAGCTCTTTTAAGAGCTTGTTCCTGACACGCTCTCCTTGGAGGAGGGGTCTTCACCACACAGTCCTGGATGCTGGAGGTTCATACAGGGTGGAAGGAAGAGTTCTTTCCCACACAGTCCTGGAGGACAGAAGCTGATCCAGGGTGGAAGGAAGACGGCGAGACTCCAGTCAAGATACGGCGGTTGCGGAGTCTGCGGTGGTTGTGGTGTCTGCTGCAGCGCTTGGAGTCCTCAGGAAGCGCTAGGAGCATCCGTCAACGGAGGGTACTCAGTCGGAGTACAAGGAGCTCCGTTACAAGGGGTAAAAACCGTTTAGGAGATCTTCTCCTTCCAGAGATACAGGCACAGCTACTGCAGAACACCAGACTCCCGAACTGGATACAAAATAGCACTCCAACTCTGGAACTGGAACCTCCCAAATAGCTGCTAGCAGACGAACAGGAAAAGTAAGCAGACAATCAGCTTACACTCCTGGCAATCAGTCTCTAACAGCATACAGTGAATCCCCCCAAGAACGAGACAAGGCTCCGTGTTGAGGGTCAAGCAGTGGTCTGAGGTGCTGGCACACCCAGCCTGGTTTTTATTACAGTCTTTTCAAATACAGGAGCACCCACAGGGAGGTATAAAACAACGTACAAAACAAATGGTATGCACAAATAGTGATACAAATAGCTTGCTCTAAAACACCCGTGTAGGATCCCCTATACCAACACTGTTAAATACATACAGAACAGGAAAAAATGGATGGAGCAATATTAGTCCTCTCTTCTCGACTTGTAGTTCTGTGGAGACAGAGAGGTACACACAATAGTGCAGATGGCTATAGACAGGTGTGGCTAGGTGATAGATGAAAACACTCACAAACGTAGAGCCAATTGGACCTGGCTCTGGTATCAAGGCCTCAGGATCTTTTGGGGGTGATCCAAATCCCTCTGGAGGTGTTCTGGATGTCCAAGGATACTTTCTTGTTCCACCATAAACAGCAAGGGATTCAATTAGATGTAAAGTAAAATATAATTTATTAATACATATATAGGAAAGATAAGTGTGAAATAACAGCCAAAACGCGTTTCGCCTCTTGGGCTTCCTCAGTTGGCTGTGTACTAGTCTCTAAGTCCTTCTCTGCCTTTAAACGTTGGTTTCGCGGTCTTTTTCAGCGTGGAACGCACCTTGCGTTCCATCTTCCAATCGTTGGTTACTTCCGGGTTCTGTAAATGCGGACAATCACGTGGGGCGGTCTTTTCGTAGGTGGAACGCATCTTGCGTTCCATTCTCCGATCTGTGTTTACTTCCTGGCTTCGGTCATGTGTGTCATCACGTGTATAGCGTTTCGTGCACGTGATATCTAATTTGCATTGTGGAATACTCTTTCGATGGATATTCCTCTCGGGCTAATAATTAAATAATAAGTTCACTAACATATTAATGTGATAATCACTGTATACTAATTGACCATTATAAATGTAAATATACCTGGGTACATGACAAGATAAATGGATATATTAACAGACTCTTTGTGGTGACAAAACACTTAGCTTTAAAATTAACAATTGGATAGCTAAGTTCTTAAAGTGACGGTGCATGATTCTAAACATAACCTAATCAGTATTTAGGAATGCAATTGTTTGGCTCAAAAAGGCTGTTCTACACAGGGCTTCAATTTTAAACAAGAAAAAGAGAAAGGGAAGAAAAAGAAAGAGAAAGTAATGTTAATGGATCATTTGAAACAGAATTTTACCATGGAGATATATATACATTATACCCTTATTTCCTCAGATTTGTAAAGTGACAGTGTGCAATTACTTTTAATGTAAACTCAGCTCATAAGTGACTTGATGCTTGTGTGCTTAAAGTGGCAATGCTTTTATGATGTTCTGAAAAATATTATTATACATGGTCTTGCAAGATCTTGGTTTAATCTTATATTAATCTCTAAATAAATACATATATTTACGACTAATGGATGGTTAAAAAAAAAAAAAAAAAAGGGGGAACTATAAAAAGTGGCATAATTCGAAATCTTGATTAAGGCCGTGTGGGATAAGCGTTTTAAAATTATAAATAAATTTCATCTCTTCTTCTCCTATTTTTCTATTAAAATCTCCTCCCCTCCAATCTTTTTGTACCAATTTGAAGGCGCAAAAGAACATGTTTTTTGGTTCACTATTGTGGTGTATCTTAAAATGATTCGATACACTGTGCGTTTCTAAACCCTTTTTGATGTTTCTTACATGTTCTGCAATCCTGACATGTAGGCTTCTAATAGTTCTGCCTACATACATCAGACCACACGGGCATCTAAGAGTATAAATGACATTTTTTGAAAAACATGTTAATAGATTATTAATTGTGAATTTTTTTATCTTTTTGGTAGTTGAAGGAGGTGATATGTCTTTTACTCTGATTGGTACCTCTACAGGCTAGACAGGATCCACAACCATAAAAACCTTTATTTTTATTTAAAAAATGTTCTGTATTTTTATTTTTAAAACTACTTTTAACTACCATTTGTTTTAGATTTTTACATCCTCTATACACTATCATCGGCTTGGGAGGTAAAATCTGTTTTAAAATGGGGTCTTCTTGTAGGACTGGCCAGTATTTTTTAACAATTTTTCTTATAGTGGCATTGTTTCCGCTGTGGTTGCATATAAAGGGAATTTTTATTTTGCTTTCATTATATGCATTGTTTTTCTTTTTTATATTTCCTTTAGATTTAATAAGTTCCTGTCTTCTAATTTTTCTAACTTCTTCCATACATATCATTAGTTCAGTTTCACTATAGCCTTTCTCTATAAATTGCTTTTTAATTTTTTCTGCTTGTAGTATGTAGTCTTCCTCTTTGGTACAGTTCCTTCTGATTCTTAGAAATTGGCTTTTTGGAGCGTTGGATAACCACGGGGTGTAGTGACAACTCTTCTTTTCGATGTAACTATTAGCGTCTACGTCTTTAAAATAGTTCTTTGTATGTATAGTTAAATCTGAGATGAAAATCTCCAGATCTAAAAATTGGATATGACTCTTGCTGTACGTAGACGTTAAAACGATCCCCCACTCATTATTGTTTAAAACTTTTAAGAAATCATTTAATTGTGTTTCTCTTTCTGTCCATATAAAAAAAATATCGTCAATGTAACGGCGATAGGACACCAGGTTCGCAACTTGGGTATTTTGTGTGACAACCTTCTCTTCCCAATACGCCATAAACAAGTTGGCGTAACTCGGAGCGAACTTGGTGCCCATCGCCGTACCTGTGATTTGTAGAAAAAATGAATCCTTAAACCAAAAATAGTTATTAGTTAAGATTAAAAGGATGCCCTCTAAAATAAAATCTGTCTGTATGTCTTTAAAATCTGCTTTTTTTAAAAAATATTGCACTGCCTCTATTCCCAAATGATGGGGTATGATACTGTATAGGGAACTCACATCACTTGTGACTAAAAAATAGTTGTCGCTCCATTTGGTGTCATTTAGAATTTGCAACATATGTATAGTGTCCTTAAGGTATGATGGATTTCTTATAACTATCGGTTGTAGTAATTTATCGATATATTCTGAGACTCTTGAGGATACGGAATCTATACCCGAGATAATGGGTCTTCATGGGGGATTCTTTTTGTTTTTGTGGACTTTTGGTAGATAATAAAAAACTGGAGTTTTCGGATATGGAATAGATAAATATTTCTTTTCATCTTCTGTTAAAATTCCTAACGTCACACCTTTTTCAATATACCTTTCAAATTTCTCTTGTATGTCTATACTGGGATTAGTATTTATCTTTTTGTATGTCTTTTCATCTAATAGGATCCTTTCTGCTTCTTGTACATAATCGTCGGTTTTCAATACTACAACCCCCCCCCCTTTATCAGCTGGTTTAATGGTAATTTTTTTATCTTTTTTCATATTGTTTATAGCTTTGAAATCTGTCGAAGATAGATTTTTTTGAAATTTATTCAATTTTTTAATCTTTTGTCCTTCCATTATTAACATTTTTTCAAAAGTTTTCATCTCATCTGAGATCATGAATCTTGGGAAAAAATTAGATTTTTGTTTTAATTCGGTTTGTATAAATTCTGATTCTTTTTCAAAAATACTATTTGGTTGTTTATTAAAGAAGAATTTTTTAAGGCTTAAATGTCTAATAAATTTATTGACGTCTATAAAAAAATCAAAATCGTTAAAATCTGATGTGGGGGCAAATTTTAAGCCTTTATTTAAGATATTTATCTGTTCTTTTTTTAAAGGGGATCCTGTTAAGTTAAAGATTCCATCCATATTCAGTTCCTCCCCCTTTTTTCTCTGCTCCGTAGTTCTTCCTCTTCTTCCTCCTCTAATTCTCCTTCCGATAGTCTTGATCTTTTCCCTGGTGATTCGCCTATCTGTTGAAATCGTTTCCGATGGTGTTGGATTGGGTCCTGCCGAAAAAATGTATCCTGATCTTGAGTTTCTAGGATTTTGAATCTATTTGTTAGTGGAATTTCGTTAGGGTTAGTGGGGTGAGAATAATTTCTTCCTGTCTTTGAAACTTGTTTATATTCTATTTGTTGTTGATTTCTCCTTGGGTTTCTTACCACTTCACTGTATGTTCTATGATCATATTGATTGTTCCTTATTGGTCTCTCCGTTCTAGGGTCTCTAGGTCTCTCTTCTCCGAAATCCCTATTTCTGTTATTAATTATTTGTGTATTAAAATCTTTAATTCTAAAATTATGTCGTGGTTCATAAAAGTTCTGTCTCTGTCTTTCTCTGTTGTAATTAGTCTGTTTAAAAAGTGGTTTCTGAGTTCTGTTATCTTTATAATTATTTCTTACGTTCCCGGTTTTGTAGTCATTTATGTCTCTTAGATATTTCTTTTTCTTAATCTCTATGACATCTTTTTCTACTTTTTCAACTTTTTTGGTTATTTCTTTAACTATAGTGTTAAAGGTTTCTGGACTCGTGGTGTTACTTAACTTGTCTTTCCATTTCTTAATATCATTATCAATGTTTTGCAGATGTTCTTCTCGTCTAGATACTATGTATCCCATAGCACTAAACGAGAATCCATCTAACATTTTGTTCCATCCTTCCATAAAATATGGGTCTTCTCTATCGAAGGCTGGATCTTTAAACAACCAATCACATATCAGTTACATCCCACATATTCCCTCCCCTTATCCTGAGAGGAAACTCAATTACACATACAGTTAAAACATACTTTCTACCCAACTTTCATAACTCTAAAACCATACATCACATTCACATAAAATTACATACAATCAATCCATTCAGGGGAACAACATATTAAAAAAATGTCATGAATCAGACCAGGGGTTCAAAAGTTAGTAAAAGTATATTTTGGGCCCTGGCTGGCACATGGCTATCTGGCTCAAACAGGTTTTACAGAGCCCTCTAGCCTGGAGACAATGGGGAAAGTAATCCAATTATCCAGGGATAGAGTCAGACTCCATTGAGCACATGGTTGCAAAAAGACATAAAACACTTTAAAATACATAAAGTCACCTTTTACACATAACACACAGACATTTCACATATCCCCAGATAGCTGGGATCTGAGCGCACAAAACTACCGAATAGCGCTCAGATCCTATTCACACAGTTCAATTGCCATGGAGCCGAAGTCTTTAACTACACAAATGGGCTCCATGGCATAGCTATCTTGGTTAACACATTTACATAAAGTCTGGTCCATAGACCAAAGGCAGCAGGCGGGCAGCCAGGCTTCTCCAATGCAATGTGTGTCAAACCTAGCCACTTGCACGAGGGGATAATCCACTTAACGGGATATTCTAGGAGGAGGATCCCTCTCGTGCAGCAGTGCCTGATGGGAGAAATATGTTGTACTGTAAGTTCCCCATGTAGTCCCCTCTAGGAATGCCCCTGGGAGGGGACTCAGGAAACCCCTTGCATGGGGACTTGTATAAATTGTGAAGCAGAATTAAAGGACTTCAGTTGACTCTCAGAACTGTGTTTCGTCCGGTTACTGGGAGGTTGGGGATATTGCCTTGTTGTTTCAGCTCTTGACTGTGGATTACTTCCTGAACCAGCGGAATTCGTTGATTTAATATTGGCGTTCCGCTACAATTGGTGGCAAGCGACGGGATCCAACTCTACAGCCGAATACAGCGCATTCGAATGAAAGGAACAACCGAACGGAAAAAGGGAAAGGCAATTCGTATGCAACAAACAGACGAAAGCGATCAGTGAATGGGGACGGATTACACGGCGTTAAAGAGCGTTAAAGAGGCAGACGCTAAAGGAACTGCTGGAGGCTGGAGGGAAAAGCGCTAGCAACAAATCCAAAGCAGTACTCATTGCAGAGCTGATGGAAGGCGACCAAGCACACAGCAGTCCACCCCCACCTGCCAGGGAGGAAACACCATATCAGAGGGAATTGAGAACCCGGTTGGAATTTGTAACTCAGCCAGTACCCCTGGACATGATGGCAGACGTCCAGGACTACATTATGGCACAGCAACCTCAGGGGGCACCCTCCAGGGCAGAATCCATCGCCAACTCATTCTGCACTCCAGTAAAGCAGAAAATACCTTACTAGGCATTTAAAGCGTTCTGCGAGGAGAAGGATGAGATAGACGGATACCTGCAGGATTTTGAGCGATTATGCGACCTACACGATCTGGAGCAGGCAATGTGGGTACCCCTACTAGCAGGCAAGTTGGCAGGACGAGCAGCAGAGGCTTATCGCGCTGTGCCCAGAGAGGACAGCAAGGACTATTTTAAAGTTAAAAGGGCAATTCTAGAAAGGTATGCCATAACCCTGGAGGCATACCGGCGAAAATTTCGGGGATTGAAAAAGCCAGAAAGATATTCCCACGCTGAGTGGGCGCATAAGCTTGACCAAGCTTCACAAGGGTGGATTCAGGCAAGCCAAGCCACCACCATGGAGGGACTGCGCCAACTCATCCTGCTGGAGCAGTTCTTTAACGGCCTGTTACCTGAGGCACAGGAGTGGGTAAGAGACAGAAAACCCCTCACCCTCACAGAAGCCGCCCGATTGGCAGATGAACACTTTGATGCCAGGAGGCATCATGGGCTCACCAACAGGGGTCCCCTGAGACCGCCAGTACAACACCACCCGACCAGCTCCACACCTACCAACTCTACCCCATTCAGGCCAGTACCAGGGAACCCCCCACCACCATCCCGCTACAATGGACTATAACCAGAGACTATACCTATGTCTGGGGAGATATTTGCTTTACTCCATATATTGTATGATAACTGTAATGTACTGAATTGCCTGTATTTGCTATCCGCCGAATGCAGATGGCGGTTTGTATGGGGTTTTCCTTTCGTTTCACGAACGGCACTCTGGGGACATATGTCCCGGGAGTGCACCGGCAGTGGGGACATATGTCCCGGGAGTGCACCCAGAATCGGAGTAGGCAGGCGTGGAACCAGGTACGGCAGAACTCCACCCCAAGGGCAGCGGCTCATTACTACCACACGGAACCTGACCACTCTGAGCTGGCAAGTCTGCAAACCGAGGAACCGTTGGGAGTTTTATATGAAGTAATGTCTGTGCAAGCCACGGACAACAGGCAGCATCACCACCAAGTTGTGTTTGTGGGGGGGGGAAGAAGAACAGGGGCTGAGGGACTCAGGAGCCACTTTGACCCTTGTGGCGCCACATTTAGTTCCAGATGCGGCCCACACTGGCGGATCAGTGGCGGTCCGGGTAGCAGGGGGAGCCATGTACCGGTTACCCACTACCAAGGTGCATTTGAACTGGGGTGCTGGGGAGGGGGTTGTAGAAGTGGCAATAATGAAGAAGTTACCGGCAGATGTTGTGTTGGGGAATGACTTGGGCCAGATGACGTCAGCTTTCCTACCCCAGGCTCCTTCACAAGAAGCTCACCCGGTAACTACATGGCAACAGGCTCGCACCACGGCATCACCAGCACACTCTGAGGCTCAGGTAAGAAACCATGACCCCCCCTTGACGCATATGACCTGGGACACCCCAACCACTTTTGAAGCAGAGGTTCAGACAGACCCCACACTGCAGGTGTACCGAGATAGGGTAGACACGGACCAGGTGGGGCGGGAGGGGGAACGGTACATTTGGGAAAACAAGTTACTGTACCAGGTGGCTGAAAGGGCAATAGGAAACTCTGTGACGCTCCAAACTAAGCAGCTGGTAGTACCCCAGAAGTATAGGCATGAGTTACTAAGAATAGCCCATGACATCCCTCTGTCCAGTCATTTAGGGATGACCCGGACCCGGTATCGCTTAACTCACGCTTTCTTTTGGCCCGGGATTTCTAAAGATGTAAGACACTATTGTACCTCCTGTGATGTGTGTCAGCGGGTAGGCAAGAGAGGGGATCGCCACAAGGCGAAACTGTGTCCCCTACCTATAATTGAGGAACCGTTCAGCCGTGTAGCTGTAGATATAGTGGGAAAGAAGGTGTTAATCCTCAAACCTGTCCGCACAGACAAACTACAGGCCGTCTGGCAGGGTCCATACCAGGTGGTAGAGCAGAGATGCGATACCACCTATGTGATCGGCCCATGCTCCGGAGTAGGGAAGCGACGCATGCTCCATGTGAACATGCTCAAACCCTACCACGAGCGAACGGAGGACGTGGCAGCTATTTGCACGCCCGCCTCAGAAGATCAGGAGAACTTACCTCTTCCAGATCTGTTAGAGCAGGAGGAGCAGAAGGAGCCCTCCCAGGGGGTTTAGCTGGGGGAGTGGCTAAGTCCTCAAGAGCGTACCCAGGTACAAGAACTGATAGCGACAAAGGGTGCCACCTTTTCTAACTTACCTGGGTACACTCCACTAGCCACTCACCGAGTAGAAACCCCGGGACAGCTTCCCATGCGACAGACCCCATATCGGATTCCTGAATCCGTGCGGGAACATATGAGGAAGGAGATTGAAGAGATGTTGCAGTTGGGGGTTATCCGATGCCCCGGATAGACGAACTGCTAGATAGGATGGCCAGAGGCCAGTATCTCACGACAATAGATCTTTGTAAAGGATACTGGCAAATTCCACTAGCCGAGGACGCCATCCCCAAGTCGGCGTTTGTCACCCCGTTTGGCTTGTACCAATTTCGAGTCATGCCATTCGGGATGAAGAACACCCCCGCGACATTCCAGTGGATGGTGGATCGGCTACTGGACGGGTTCCAGGATTATGCGTGTGCATACCTGGATGATATTGCCATCTACAGTCAGACCTGGTCGGATCACCTACAACATATAGGGGCTGTAATAGATCGGATCCGGGAGGCAGGGCTTACCTTGAAGCCAAGCAAGTGCCACATAGGGATACTTAGGGCACCGAGTAGGTAGCGGGCAACAGAGGCCTGAGCCCGCAAAGATTGAAGCGGTAGCCCAGTGGCCTACCCCAAGGACCAAAACCCAAGTCCTTGCCTTTTTAGGTACTGCCGGGTATTATAGAAAATTTGTGCCCAATTACAGTGCTCTGGCCAAACCCCTGACTGACTTGACAAAGAAGAACCTGCCCAGGCAGGTCATCTGGGCCCCAGAGTGTGAACAGGCATTCAACCAACTGAAGACGGCTCTGACCAATGCCCCTGTACTGGCTGCTCCTGATCCAACTAAACGTTTTCTTGTCCACACAGACGCCTCAATGTTTGGATTGGGAGCAGTACTGAGCCAGGTCGGAGCAGATGGCGGAGAACATCCCGTAGCATATTTGAGTCGGAAATTGTTACCCCGAGAAGTGAGCTACGCCGCCATAGAAAAAGAATGCCTGGCCGTGGTGTGGGCCCTGAAAAAGTTACAGCCATATCTCTATGGGCAACCCTTTTCCTTGCTCACAGATCACAACCCGTTGGTGTGGCTGAACCGTGTGGCTGGAGACAATGCCAGGCTGCTGCGCTGGAGTTTGGCGTTGCAGCCTTTTGACTTTACCATTCATTATCGCCCCGGGAAACAAAACGGTAACGCCGACGGGTTATCTAGACAAACAGACCTTGAGAAGTGATCTGTGAGCTCTCCTCTGGACATCCCCAAGCCGATCCGTTGGGATCAGACTGTGTATGCCGGCTTGGTTCTG